AGACCATTTAGAGGGTGTGGCAACAATCCCAGTGAAAAATAAAGGCCTGTGAGTGATAGCTGCCACATAGAGTTGAAAAGGACAAACGAGAAACATTTTAAAGGAGAGTGATGGATAGACCAGATGCTAAGTTGAAACCCATGACGTTAAGTTGGCAGCCAAGGGATTAATCTTTGCACTGCCAGGACTCACTATCAGTTGATTGTCTTTATGTACCTTGAAGCAGAACAAGTCATAGCTGATCCTCCAGTGGATTTTCCAGAGGCTAAAAATCACATGAGAGGAGGCTGCCCTTCTTTCTCTCAAGAGCCGGTGGTGGGGGACTGCAACCACTTGTCTGGGTTTACAGCACAACTCCTTACTCACTAAGCCATTAGCGTTCTTGAAACCACACTAAAAAGAACAGCTTCTGTTTAAAGATTACTTAGATATGTCAAATGTAGTGAAATGACGTCTATCAGAGTGGCTGAGCAGCCTTGACTACTGGCTGAAAGATTTGGCAGAACAAACACACCCAGAGGCTCTTTGGAAGTCAGGCATTGCCATCTGCTTCGAAAGGTCACAACCTTAAAAACCCCTGTGAAAGACACATGAAGAAATGCTCAGAATCACTGACAGTGAGAGAGATGCAAGTCAAAACCACAATGAAATACCATCTCACCCCAGTAACAGTGGCAACGTTTAGCAGGGGAGCAAGAAATAAATGTTGGAGAGGATGTGGCAAAATAGGAACTCTCATATGCTGTTGGTGGGATTGTAAAATGATACAGCCACTCTGGAAGACAGTTTGGCATTACCTACCTCAAAAAGTTGGACATAGAAACTTCAAATAACCCAGCTATTCTCCAACTAGAAATATACCCCAAGGAAATTAGACCTGAGACACAAATGGACATCTGTATACCAGTGTTCATCGCAGCATTATTCTTCATTGCAATCATGGAACAGCCCAGATATCGAGGCACAACAGAATACATTGAGAAATTGTACATTCGTACAATGGAATATTATGCAGCACTCCAGAGCAACGATTTAAAAAAAAAAAAAAACACAACTACATAACTTAGGAGAAACTGAAGAGCATTATGAAGCTCCAACATTTATTTATCTCCAACATTTATTTCTTGCTCCCCTGCTAAATGTTACCACTGCTCCTGGGGTGAGATGGTATTTCATTGTGGTTTTGACTTGCATCTCTCTCACTGTCAATGATTCTGAGCATTTCTTCATGTGTCTTTCACAGGGGGGTTAAGGTTGTGACCTTTCGACGCAGATGGCCATCATAATTCAGTCTCATAATGACAAATACTGCATAAGACCATTATTATAAAAATAGAAGGTTAAGTAGTAAAACATGTGTGGGGACACAAAGTGGAAAGGGGTGGGAGCAGAGGGGTGAGGATGGGTAGGGGCAAAACCGCAGGGTTGCGCAGTTCAGTGGGTAGAGGGAGGGGGTGAAGGAAATGGGAAGGCTCTCTAGCACCACAACTCAAAGACATCGATTCATCTTCTATCATCTTTAGCCATTTTCTGACTCTCTGATGCATAGCAAGTAATTGTGAAGACTATGACCTGGGTTATGCACCCATTAGTCTCTAGACTGACTTCATTGTTTTTTTAGTACTATGGAGAGGTCTGTGACAGCAGATTTTCCCAATGTAATTCATCTTTTTCTTCCTAACTGCTGGTGCCAATAGCGTTGATTGTGGAGCCGAGCAAGCTGTAATTGTTAACAACGTCAGTCTCATCTCAATTTATCATGGTGCTGCAAATTGACCCAGTGGTGAGAATCTTTGTCATCTTGATACTGAGCTTCAATCCATATTGAAGACAGCAGTCTTTGACCTTTTGCAGCAAGTGCTTTGGGTCCTCCTCAGTTACATCAAGCAAGTTTGTGTTATCTGCATAATGTAGGTTGATGAGTCTTCCTCCAATCCTGACACCACATTCCTCCACACAAAAGCCAGCTTTCTGAATGATTTGCATATAAATTGAAAAGGTATTAATGTGTTAATAGACCAGTTTCACAGATAATAATAATGGAACTCTGAACAATTTCATAGCTTGCTTTGTATATTGTAGAGTTGTAGACAGAGCTACATAGACCTATCCTGTACAAAGTAGTCCCTGACTTGTGATAGAGTACCATCCCAGTGATTCCATTATCATAAGTAAAGTACCTTTTTTGTTGTTTTTAAGTTTTTTATTATTGTAGCCTTTTATTATCAGTGTCTTACGGATCTAATATTTGTCTTTTAGATGTTGGAAGTTTACGTATCTGTAAAGTTACAGATATACTTGCTATATATTTAAAAATACTCTAATTGTATAAATATACTCTAATGCTGAGAAAGCCAATTGTTGGCATTTTGTTGTTGGGGGTAATAACTCTTCTTGTGAAAGGTTCTGGATATGTGGATTATTCTTTGGAGGGAAAAGATATAGTTTCTAGTCAGAAAATTCCTGAGAGTTGCCTGTATGATCCTTTTCCTTTTTTACTTCATTTATTTCTCAGTAACATCTCATTCCTTCCCCAGTCTTTCTGTTGACTATAGCAAAGTGATCAGGACTTCATGATTCATATTTTTCAGGCAACTGAAGCCTTTGATTTCTATTAAAAAAGCAAAATGTTGAGAAGTAAATTAGAAAATTGAACATCTGCCAGTGAACTTCTGAGAATAATAACATTGGCAAATTACATGCTGCAACATTGTATCTGGCACGTGATCCTAAGGATAAGATGTATCCTTTCCCACCAGGCAGCTCTGGGGACCTAGTGGGTAAGGAGTCCTGTTGTGGCAAAGTGGGTAGGGAGTCACATGGCCAACCCAGAGGCAGCTTCTCTGAGGGAGAAATATGGGCAGTCTTTTCCTGTGCAATTTATGCCTCTGAAAACCCACTGGGCCAGTTATGAATTAGTTGGTTCCAGATCGACAGCAATGAATTTGAGACGTTTTTGTTTTGTCTTTGTTTTACTCTTCCACAAAATTTAAAAACACCACCACACACTAACAAAAAGGAGTGGGTGGTCCTAGCTTACTAATATTTCATAAGTAAAGGACTCCCTATACCATATTTTCTTTGTTCTATGCATTCTTGACGTACACTTGAACAAGTTAGGCCTTGAATGAAAGCTACTGGTGTTACTGAGATTCTCCACCCCCCCCACCCCCACCCGCAACCCCGCCTCGCCAATGTGGCCCTAGAGCCGTGCTTATCAAGAGCAATTGCTAATCAAGAGCAGTGCTCTCAGTGGATGGTGGAAAGTTAATTCTGCTGATGCACTTTCCTGTACTGCCTACTCTGGAACCACCAATAGCACTTGGCCTCAGCCTTCTGCTGCAGTCCTGTCCTAGGCTCCTTTAGGGTCAACTCCCGGGTTCTGGCTTATGCTATTTCCCACTTGCCTCCTTTCTCCCTTTGCTTCTGCCCTTGCCCTCATATGTACCACTTCCACCATACCCCACCCCACCTCTGACCATAGTGATCCTTTATAAGGCAGAAGTGGGTCACTTCTCTGCTCTGAAGCCTTCTCATTCACTTTTAATGCAAACCATGGCCTTTAAGATCCACTGTGTTCTGACCTGCGGTTACTTTTTCTGACCCTGCGGCTGACCACACATTCCACCCTAACCTTGTTACCTGGCTGGTCTGTGAAGGCTTCAAGCACCTCCCTGCCGCAGGGCATTTATGCTTGCTGTTGGGACTTCCTGGAGTGCTTTTACCCAGATGTTTCCATGACTGGCTCCTTCATGTGGTTTAGGCTCCTGCTTCTCTAATTACTCTATCTATAGTAGCATCCTATTATCAGCCTCTTTTCCCCCCCTCTTCAGCACTTGTTTTGTATTAATTGACCACCCCAGAGCTCAAATGTCTTGAGGTCAAGGAGACTACAAGTAGGACAGGGTTCAGATCTGTAGCTCATAGGGTCACTGTGAATCCTCTTTGATTAACATCACTTAACAACACCACGGAAGTCCAGAGTTCAAGGATTTTGTCTGTCCTGTTCTCACCATCTCTGTCCAACTCCTGGATGGTACCCAACCCACCATATATAATCAATGGGAGTCCCTGAATGGTGCACATAGTTAATAGGCTTAGTTACTAACCAAAAGCTTAGAGGTTCACCCAGAGGCACTGAAGAAAAAAGGCTTGACAACCCCTCTGTGAAATATCAGTCACTGAAACCCTGATGGAGGAGAGCTCTACCCAGATACACAGAGCCACCAGGAGTTGGAATTGGCAGGAAAACAACTAGTTATAGGACTGATTGAGTGGCTGGTTGAATATATGGAAGTTGTGGTCCTAAATAGAAGCTTAAAAAGATGTGGAGTTATGATCACAACAGACCTATGTGTTGAAACAGTGTGTCTTCACATCTTCCGGCCTGATCAGCATCACTGGTTCCCCAGTTCTCCCTTTTTGGGGGGATAACTGTCTACATTTCCCTGGATGAGATGTATGCTTATTGTTCTGATGAGGGTCAGTATGGAACCCATGGTTACCGTAGACAGTTAAGCCCTGGGTACAGAGGTATCTCTGAAGAAAGACGTGGTGATCTGCTTCCAGAAGATAAGAGTTGTGAAAACCTGACTGAATGTGATTCTGCTCTGGGAATGAGTGAGGCTGACATGGGTTTAAATGGACTGGACAGCAAGTGGGGTTTTGCTTTCAGAAGAATAGAAACATATCCATTACCAGAGCCGGTTTGCTATGCCAGGAGATAACTAGAAATGAGTTCAGGGTTCCACCTCCTACCCACACTCACTCTTCCAAATACAGGAGGCACTTGAGGGTTATTTCATTGTTTATGGAGCCCATTTAAAGTGTGTCCTTCGCTGTGGTTTTTTCCATCCCCTGTGCATTTATAGATAAAACTTACTCTAATAATTGGCTTTAAGTGAACTTTGTTCTCAGGATCTTCATAAGCAGAGATTTTCTTACTGGGGATTTGGAACTAATGCCATTTTCACCGCCTTTTTCTGTTTCTCTTCCTCTAGGATCTTCTATGTTTCTCATGATTCCCAAGACTTGAAGATCTTCAGCTATATTGCCCGAGATGGTGCCAGCAATGTCTTCAGGTGTAACGTCTTTAAATCTAAGAAGAAGGTAAAGGGGAAGTCATTGACCATCTTTCATTTCCCTCTGGTAGACCCGGGACACCCCTGATCTTAACTAGTTTTCCTGTTAATACAGAGAAGAAATTTGGAGCTGTCCAACATGGGGGAATTATCTCAGTAGTCCGTTACTATTCTTATGCAATGAAATGATCTTTTTGTTTTATAAGCACTTTGAACTTACCTGTATGTGGACAGTGGAGATGGTATCAACAATTGGATAAGAGCTCAGGAGTGGGAGCAGGGAGATAGCACCAGGAGTTTCATTTTGTTAAAGTCCATGAGACATGTGGTAAAAATTATTGTCATTTATTGAAGTGATCTTCATTGAAATTCTGTATATTGATCAACAGACTGCAAGCCATAACTATTGGAATTAGGTTGGTTTTGGTTGTGGTTGTGTGGGGGGTTTTTTTGTTTGTTTGTTTTTTAATTGGTCACTAGGGTCTCTATTAGGCCTAGAGATAAAAAAGATATACCTACATCTGTCTTCCTGATTTTAAACTAAGCCCTGTCCCATTGCTCCATTCAGACAACAGTTTTTTAATCTAGGTATAGATTGATTATGAGCACAACTAAGTGTTCTGGGATTTCCATTCTTCTCAATGTTGTGACCCACACAATCAAATACCTTTGCACAGTCAATAATACACAAGTAGACATTCTTCTGATGTTATTTGCTTTCAGCTAGGATCCATCTGACATCTGTGACGATATCCCTGTGCCCTGCCTCTTCTCAACCCCTTTTGAATTTCTGACAGTTCTCTGTCAGTGTATTGTTCCAGCCATTTTTGGATGATCTTCAGCAATATTTTGCTTGCATGTGATATTAATGATATTGTTCCATAATTCAGAAGTCGGATGGGTCACCTTCCTTGGGAATGGGAAGAAATATGGATCTCTTCGAGTCAGTTGGTCAGGCAGCTAGCCTCCAAATTTCCTGGCATAGACTGGTGAGCACAGGCAGGGCTTCATCTGTAGATGAGACATGTCCGTTAGTATTCCATTGATGGAATTAGTTTTAGACTTGTCATGGGTAACTGTTTTGGTATAATAATGTTTTGGAGTGAAATCTTGATGCTAGAGTAAATGCAACTTTGCAACTTGTGAAGAGGCATTCTTCGTCTCCACCCAGAAGTGTATCACACGATACCGCCAGCAGTGAGGTGACCAGGAGTACAGCCCTGCTTCCACACTGGAGCCCTGAGTGATGCTGAGTGGAGTGCTTCTCCATTACATAGCCCTGGTGAGACAGTGGTTATGCGCTTGGCTGCTAACCAGAAGATTGGTGGCTCACACCCATTATCTGCTCTACAAGAGAAAGATGTGGTAGTGTGTGTCCCTAAAGATTGAGCTGGGGGCCAGTTCTACTTACTCCCTTCTGTAGGGTTGTATGAGTGAGAATCAAGAGCAACAGTTAACAGCCTTGGTTTGGTTTGTTATTCCTCAAATATTCTTGGGTGCCTTGTCTACCCAAGGAGGATGGTCAAGATAACATTTCCTACAGAGTATTCTGAAAAACATTTTTTAATTAAAACATTTCATGTTAAAACTAGTGCTTAACCCTTTCATGACCTGTGGGGCCTCTAGTGCCTGCCTGCATTTTCTCCCTTGAGGTTTAATGAGAAGCTGCTACCCTCCCCTTCTTTCAGTGTTTGCTTCCATCTGGTGGGATCTGTATAACTTTGGGAATCTGAAGAAGTAAGCTTCACCCCGACAACTCCAGCACAGAGACTCTTCAGGACCCATGTTTTCCACTACTTGTATCAAAATTCTGGTTACGTCAAAATTTTTTTTATTTTATTAAAAACGTCTTAAAAATGTCTTCCATGTTAAAAAAAACATATTTTTTAAGATATCACTTCTATGAAAAAATTTAAAGCAGTAGGTTTAGTGAATAATTCCTTCTTGGAAAGATTAGCTTGCTGAGAAGTTCTGAAGTTGAGAAAACTGCATTAGCTTTGTTTAGCCCAGCATTTCCCAGATGAATTTGGCCATGGAATGATTTCTAGTTCTTTTCTTCCATGTAGTATGTCTTAACAAAAGTGAAGCTATTTATCTCCAGAAGGAATTTTGGAAAGCACTGTATCTATGCTTCTGAAGACCCTTACAAAATCTCTGGGTGCTACAAATGGTTAAGTGTTCAACTATTAGCTGAAAATCTTGCAGTTAAAATCTATTTCAGAGGTGCCCTGAAAAATAGATCTGATCGTCTCTTTCCAAAAGCTCACAGCCTTGAAAACTCCCAGGAGCCATTCTGCTCTACATGCGTGGATCCCCGTGCGCTGAAATCGACTAACAGTGACAAGAGCCCTTCCCGTTCTGCAAGACAATCCAGCAGGCCTAGTTTCCCAGAAACATTTCTTATTTAATACTTATTCAGTATTCTCGGATACTATGAAATCTTGCAACCCCTCTTTTGATAATACATCACATTGCATGCCATTAAAGCGTTTTTAATAGTTTTGTAGGTATCTTTTCAAATGGAGATAATAAGAATAAGGTATTATATTGTTGTTACATGCTGCTGAGTTGGAACCAATCCATAGCTGACCTTCCAGCAGGCTTTCAGAGGCTATCAATTACATATGAAATTGTCCATCTTTCTCCTGGAAGTCATTGTAGGATTGATGGTGGGATTGATATTTACCCATGGATACATCTCATGTCCCATCTTAAGCCCACAAAGAGATTACACTTCACTAGCTAACTCTCCTCCTTTAAGGAGATGTGTCCCTTTATCTACCTTATTTTCAGGCTTTTTACTTTGAAATCATGGGGAAAGAGCTAGAGCAGAAGAGATGGGTGGAGGAAGCGAAGAGTAAATGCTTAGATTCCATTGCCAGGTTCACAGTAAAGTGGAGAGGAAAAACTGGAAGGAAGGTTGTAAAGGAGGATAAATAGAGCAATATATTAAGGGATTGAAAGAAAAGGGAGAGGGAGAGAGAACAAAAACCTGGGCGTTTTTCTGGTTTGTAAGAATGCAAGTCCTGAGTGCTCTTGATATCTGTGAATATGAGCATCTATAATGCTTTTTTGACAGGCACTGCTGAAGACTGAAATCCTCTCTGTTCCTTTGGAGTGCCTGATTGTGTTCCTCTGACTTTGGTTTTGTAGAAACTGGACTGTGAGGGCCTTAACATTTATTAGAGTTACAATTAACATTTTGCCATTTACCAAATGCTTCAACATCTTATTTTCTTGGATGACTGAAACACTCATGGAAAGAAGGAAAGACAGATGATTCTCATCGTCAGTTTTACAGGTGAACACATTGAGGCTCAGAGAGATTGAATGACTTGCCAGAGGTCGCGTGAATAGGCCCTGGCTCAACCCAGGATGTGTTTGCAACCTATAGAATAAAAGACTTTTTTAGCAGGAAACTTAGATAAAGAGTACCATTATCTTGTCATTGCCTTGCCACCAGACCTAGTGTAGCAATACACACACAGTGGGACATCCAGTTTTTCTGCCAAAACCTAAATCTAAGAACACAACATGGCCCAGTTGAAACTTTGATCTTGATGAATTGAAGGACAGAACCAACTTTCTCCCATGGATGGGAATTGTCCTCCAGTTTCATGTTAGGTCAGGTTTACCCATGTCCCATAGTTCTCAGAAATACCTCAATTCCTTCCATTTTCTGTATCCTTTTGACTTTCTCCTGTTGAGTCTGTAGCTCTGCATAGAGTTGGTTCTCAGGCCCTTTGCTGGCCTGTGGCCATGCAGCTGAGGGAATTGTTTCCAGACAGCCCAACCTGTGAGCCCCATTCCTGCGGACCGATAGGTGGGAGGGCCAGTTCCCAAGCCAGGAAAAAGAAGGAAATTGTTCAAGAAAGGAAGCAAAATTGGGGAAGGGCGGGGAACACGTCTGCATGGGTTTTGCACGCCATTGTCCTTAGCCCCCAAATATGGTGATTTACTTTTTTATAAGGCACTTCTGGTTTGGGGAGATAATAGTTAGCTTGGAAAGGAGTTTTAATTGGCAAGACATAGGAATACTTAAGAGGTAAAGGGGAAAGGACTGTCGATGGTAGTTGAGATGCAGACCCTGAGGGAAATGTATCTTGCAGGGGAGTGTCTGGATCATTGGAGGTCAACAGGCAGGTCTTTTGACTGGAAGCCAGGAGGCCTAGATGTTCTCCAGAGCTTTCAGTGGATCATAAAATGCAGGACCTTCTGAGTGTTCCTTGCCATGTCAGGGTTTTGATTATTGCTCTTGTATACTGTGCTATGTCATAGCACATCCCTTATGACGCTTCTCTGATATTAGTGTTCTCCTTACCCTGCAGTTCATCTGCTCATTGAGAATTGTTGTTCTTAGGTGTCAGCAAGTCAGCAACCCTGTGCACAACAGAACACCACCCTGCCCGACCCTGCACCATCCCTGCTGTGTTCCTCTCATTGAAGGCTTTCAACTTCTCAAGTAGAAACCCTCCCAATACTTTCCTCCAAACCTGGTTATTATCCCCTGTCCATAGAGCTGCCTTTAGTCACTTATATGTGAGTCTCATCTTTAATCTAGATCTAGGTTTTGTTTTCTTTTACACTGAGCCTTAAACAGAAGCTACATAGTAAAACACTGGAAGAAGATGATACAGTACCTATTCCTCACCCACTGCTCTAGATTATCTCACTTTTAGCTATATATTAAGTAAGACAACAATATCCAATCATTTTTATTTCTTACTATGTGCCTGACTCAGGTCAGAGTCTTTCTGATCACTTGTTATGCATCTGAGAGCTGGACAGTGAATAAGGGTGACAAAAAAAGAATTGACATTTTTGAGCTGTGGTGTTGGAGAAGAGCATTGAACATCCCATCAATGGCCAAGAGAATGAATGGATGTGTCTGAGAGAGGGTGCAGCTGGGGTGCTCTCTGGAGGCAAGAATGCCTCACATACTTTGGGCACGTTGCTAGGAGGTGCTATTCCTTGGAGAGGGACATGATGCTGGGAAGGGCAGAGCATCAGCAAAGGAGAAGACCCTCA